GTTGATAGGGGAGGCTGCTATCTCTCCTCGTTCATCTGCTACGATGGACACTTGGAAGTCTAATTGATGTATAATAGCAAAAGGTATCACTTAGTATTTGCTTTGAGCCAAACAAACCACATTTTCTCCGGTAGTTAGAAAACCCGCCCTTGACTAACTGATGTATAAGTTCAAAGACGTAGGAATTAATGTCTTACAATAGGTGAAAATGCAAAGAAAGAAAATGGGAGAGAAAACACTTAGACTTCGGATGTTTTGGGCCATACTCATGGTTTAGACATTTCATTAAAACATAAGTTTATAATTGATGGATTCACGTGGGTTCCAATTCATTAATTCTTTGGTTCAATTGCTTATTTCCACGTTCTCTCGATCAATCTCGGCCATGATTAGACTGTTGCGACACGCCTTAGTGAGTTACAGTCGAAGTGGGTGGCCAAGGTTTTATCTGGAGAATTGGTGTTGCCAAGTGAAGAAGAGATGATGTCTTCTGTTCAACAACATTACCAGCGCATCGATGAACTTGGATGGCCCAAGCATCACGCTCACAGGCTTGAAATTGAAAAGGTTCAAACTAACTTGTCTTCCCTCAATTCATAGTGCTAGACTTTTTCAATGAATTGAACACCTCAAAAGTTAAAAGACAATATCCTTTTTTTAAAATTATTAGCTTCGCTGCTAGTGTTACAAAAAATTCACACATTCCCTGTTATATGAATAATAAGTGTGTTTGGAGTTAATTTTGTAGATGAATACTTCTGTATGTTAATAATCCAAGGGCGGAGTGTGCAAATTATTTCTTAAACCGACAATGGACCTATTCTTTTTAGTTGAAATTGTTTGATTAGATATAAAACGGTGGTCTAAACAATCAGAAAATATTCCATTACCTTAGTATGTATAATAAACTAAATTTGTACTGTCAGATCCGGTAGGATCCACGTGGGACCAACCATCTTCAACTGTCCAGAGTCAATTTAATATAAATATATATTACACTAATATAGTAATTTCTCCTAAACAGTAGGCAAAATCCACAATAGAGCTCAAAAATAGTTTGATACCCCAAAACTTCGCTGAACATTATTGGCTGAGACCATCTTATTAACTATACAATGAGGTTGCCTTGATTTTTTGTTACGAAGAAATTGATCTTCTTTCTTGTGCTTGGTAGTATGAATATGACAAGTGGCTTACGGGTCAATTGGGACTACCACCATTGGAACAATGGAGGGAGAAGTTGGCTTTTACCGTACGCGAATTCTTGCAATCTTCTGATGAAAATTGGAGAGACAATTGGGACGTTGAAAAGTGGCTGCAAGAAGAAGGATTTGGCAAGCAAATTCCTGGAATTGATTCTGAACATCAATCGGAAAAATTGTAACCACTAGAAAGAGAATTGCGAGAGAGTTGAAAAGAGAGCGACAAAGAGTTTGATTTGGACGGGAGGGGGGGGGGGGGACGGTGCCAAAAAAGTCATAAACCTTTTGTATTAGTGCCAATTTAGTCCTAAACCTTTTGTTGGTGTCAATTCAGTCCTAAACCTTTTGCATTGGTGTCAATGTAGTCCTAAATCTTTTTTTGGTGCCAATTAAGTCCTAAACCTTTTAAATTGGTGCTAATTCAGTCCTAAACCTTTTGTTTTTGTGCCAATTTAGTCCTTCCGGTCAATTTTGACCTGAATTTGCTGACGTGGACGCCCTGCGGCGGCGGCCGATCAGCGCGCAACGTGGACAAACTTTAATAATATTTTAATATTTTTTTGAATTTTTATTTTTTTTTCCTTTTTTTCTTTTTTTTTCCACTTTTTTTTTTGGTCTCTCCCTCCTTCCTCTGGCCGGTCGCCGGTCCGGCGACCCGCGATCGAGGCCGTGAGCCTCACCTCAGGCCATTGGCGAGGCGTGCCCTCGCCAAGGAGCCTCACCTGTGGCGAGGCTCGACCTCGCCCGGATCCGGCAAGGTCGGGCCTCGCCCTCGCCGCGGCCTCCGGTGAGGGCTTGAGCCTCGCCATGGTCGAGCGAGGCCTGACCTCGCTGGATCTGGCGAGGTCGAGCCTCGCCCAACCAAGGCGAGGCTCGCCCTCGCCGAGCGAGGCCGCCCTCGTCAGTGGCCGGCAAGGTCGAGCTCGTCGGCCTTTGGCCTCTGGCCAGTCGCTGGACCGGCGACAGCCAGAGGAAGGAGGGAAAGACCAAAAAAAAAAGTGAAAAAAAAGAAAAAAAAAGGAAAAAAAAATAAAAATTCAAAAAAATATTAAAATATTATTAAAGTTGTCCACATCGGCGCCGGTGACCGGCAGGCGTCCACGTCGGCAAATTCCAGTCAAAATTGGCCGGAAGGACTAAATTGGCACAAAAACAAAAGGTTTAGGACTGAATTAGCATCAATTTAAAAGGTTTATGACTAAATTGGAACCAATGCAAAAGATTTAAGACTGAATTGGCATAAAAAAAAAGGTTTAGGACTAAATTGGCACTAATGCAAATGGTTTAGGACTTTTTTGGCACTTTTCCCGATATGGGGGCATTTAATATCCGTGGACACTCATCTGTCTGTAAATTTTGAACTGCATTCGTTGCGTTTCAATTGACAAAACATTTAAAATGACATAATACAAATTGCTACATACAATCATTTCTCGAAATTGCAAATAATGTCTTGCATTTTAAGGGCACATAAAGTTTCTCTGAATCTGGCTTCGGTAACAATTTCAATTATGAAACTATTTGGAGGAAATAAACGTGCTGATAGTGTGAAACTCGTGAGATTATTGGCCTTCATGACCTAGTAATTGCTTTATCAACTCTAATGAAAGGAAAATCGTCTTTGTCTATGACAACTAGCTAGTTCCTCGTTTTAGGACAACCCTGTCAATACATACATATTCAAATGTTAAGATAATGAAAAAAGGATATAGGTCGTTCTTATTAGAGTGGAGAATACAATTTGCAATGTTAACCCCTCTCGGATCGATTATTTTGATGAGGTATCTTACCATAATGAAGATGAGAAGATCTCAAATATCCATCTACCTCATGAAAATCCATATTTTGCTTTTCGCTAAACCTTCTTTCTTTTCACCTATAAAATCATACGAGATAATTCATCACACCTCGAGAGATGTCAAAGAGTATATCTAGTCAATCCACTTAGACCAACATCCCATTCCTATTACTCAACAGAATCACTTTGTCAATTTCCAAATTCCCTGAGAGTTTCTGCATCAGTAACTCCAACAAATCTATATTCATCTTCATTTTGGTGCTATCCATCTTGCCCTTTCTTTCCATCATCGTAAAGGTGTCCCAACAGTGGCCCATATTGCACTACTTGATACTTCGTTTCTCGGCTACCAACATGCCTGTATTTTGTAGTCGAAACCACCCTCAATGTCGAAACTATGTTTATAACACTATTCCCCAACTTCAACATGGTTCTCTCAAACACATGTTTGCTTACCGCCCTAAAAGTTCAGTTGCAAATTACTGGAGCTCCCCGGACTCCAAATTCAATTGTGGCAACCCTTCACTACCATATGGTGTATAGAGTTTAAAACCATGCTAACCAGGCAACTTCGTGCAAAAATAGGGTGAGCACTTAAGATAAATTTCAATTCGTAATTATTGATAATCACTTAGAATAGAGCTCTACTTTAAACCAGAAAGCTTAACAAATAATGTTAGATATGAATTATGAACGCAAACCAAGCTATTAGCTTACACAAAATCTAAGCATTGCAATCTCGGTTTTAAGTCATTGCAATCCTAAATTGGCACATGTGCAATTGGTTTAAGACTTTTTTGGTAATTTCCCCGTTTACCAAATGTGAAGGGAAAGCAGTGCTCGTCTTCGTGGGGATGGATCATGGCGATCGGGAGCGACTGGGATGTCCACATTGCTCGATCCACATGCACAACATTCTCAACTTCGATCAAAATTCTGTTTGTAATCTTAATAAATTGTCAAATTTAACTGTGAACAGATGGATCGATGTTTGAAGACACAATGTGCACAACTTCGATGCCCAACTTCAATCCAAGGTCCTCATTCAGACAAGAACTTAGCAATATCACCTTCTATATTCTTAAATTGGCTTCCTAAAATAGATAATGACATGTAAGATTCCACACACTACGCACATGTCGATCTAGTCTGTATATATGCAACAAATTCCGGATTCGATTTGACATACACGCGGCATAAAATATGATATATCTCGTAAGTGAGTCAAACATTTTCAAACTCCATATCTAATCGATTAGGTATTAGAATTACTCGTATCCGAAAGGAAATGATCCGAATTTTATTATTTCCAAGAGTGGAGCTTAGCTTACTGACTTAGATCTAAATCTAAGCAACCTAAATCTCACTGCTTTTATATAAAAGCTCAACTTGATTAAGTAATCATGTAATTCAAGCTTGAGAACAATTTAACTTAGTTTGAACATTTTAAAAATGCCAAAAGCCATCAAAAACCCTAAACTATGCCCGTTGTGATATATTTACCCTAAATTTTTTTCTGTAACACAAAAATTCCATACTTGTACCTGTGCGACATATTTACTCCCATTCAAAGTTCCGTTAATGAGAATCGTTAAAAATATGCCTAGATAGATGCCAAAAAGCAAACGATATTGACATGACGCCCACGTAGCTTAAGTGAAATAAAAATGATATTGTTTTGGCTAAAAAATCATATGACGGAACTTTGACGAAAGATAAATGTGCCGCATAGGTACAAGTTTGAGGTTTTTTATGTCACAAGAAAAATGTTAGGGTAAATATGTCACATGAGTATAAGTTCAAAGTAAAAGTGTCATTTAGCATAATTTAAAATTTTTTGTGGCTTTTTCCGTTTTAAATATCGAGATGTGCAGCTCATTAATAACCTGCATTGTTTAAACCTTCTCTGGTGATATTACCTAACAATGCCATATACAAGAAAGTATCTCCTATTAAAGAAAGCGAATTGAAGAACAGAACCACTAAACCATGTTAAAACCATGCCAAAACTGTACGTAAAGGCAGCCGTGATCGGAGCCGGCATGTCGGGTCTTGTTGCAAGCAGGGAGCTCCGCTGTGAGGGGCACCAAGTGGTGGTGTTCGAGAGTAGCAATGATATCGGCGGCACGTGGCTGTATGACCCTCGGGTCGAATCCGAGCCACTGGGGTTGGATCCGGGCCGCGATGTTGTCCATGCCAGAACATACCGGTCGCTCCGGGTGAACGTGCCAAGGCAACTCGCGGGTTTCTTGGACTACCCATTTCTTGAGAAGGGGTGCGGCGACCCGAGGAGCTTCCCGGGTCTCGAGGAGGTGCTCCAGTTCTTGCGCGGCTTTGCGGAGGATTTCAGGCTAATTGAGTTGATTCGGTTCAGGCACAAAGTGGTTCGGGTCGAGCAAACCGTTGAGGGAAGGCGGGACCAGTGGGCTGTGGAGTGGCAGACGCGCGGTGGGGAGGAGGCCGCGGCGGGCGTGGATGTTTTTGAGGCTGTGGTTGTTTGTAATGACAACCACAACCAACCAAAGATTGCCGAATTTCCAGGTACATCGTCTGATGTAACATTTATCCTAGTTGAATTGTTTCTCTTTTTCCTTTTTTGTCTGAAATTGTTGGCATCGGTTTAAAGTTTATGGACGTCGATGTGCTGGTAGACATCACTTTCGAATTCAGTACCGCCACAGCATTCATTTTCGTCTATGTATAGAATATACAAATACATATATTAAATGCATAGTGTGAAATAGAGCTCCAAAACAGCACACGTGGCTATTGGAGTTGGCGAATACTTCGGAGACTCTTGTTTATCATACCGGGTACGCCCACATGAGCTTAGAGAAATCGAAGTATGATCTGACGACATGTGACCCCTGCGCACGAAATGCGGGAGTTCAGGGGCAGTGCTCCCAAAACGGGGGTCCCGCTAACCGGACAGCGGGTGGGGGTTTCGCTCGCCGGTGAGCGGGCGGGGGCTCAGGGGCAGCGCCCTCGAAACAACATCGGTTTTTTAGCTTATGTTTTAAACTAACCCGTTTGTTGTGAGATTAAAGGGATTGGCCTAAGTTTTAAGCTAACCCGTTTGTTGTAGGATTAAAGAGATTCAGATAAGCTTGGGTTTTGGGCTCATTTTAAGTCTTATATATTGTACTCGTACGAGAGATCATTGTAACGAGTGGTTGTGGTTGTAAAACCTAAATATCAAAGTGGAATCCCTTTGCAGGATGTGGCCCTATTCTGAGGTGAACTTGGGTAAACTCGTGTGTCAAATTTTTTATTATCTGTGTAATTATTTTGATTCGGTTCGGATATAACCCCATCAGTAGCAATGTTTTATACGCCGTCAAATTCAGAGAAGTCCGACCAGCTCCTCCGGTGACTGATAACGCATCGAAGAAGCACAACAAGAAGAAACAAACCCCGAGTCCTTCGCGTGGCAACGCCAAGAGCTTCTTCTCCTATGATTCTAGTTCGAAACTTTCAAAGGACGTGCTGCAGAAATACTTGAATCTGGCCAAGTCCCTATATGTGGACGTCTCCAAGAGGTATTGCAACGCTATGAAGTTCCCCTCTATTGAGTCTGCTGCTGGCAATGCTGACGTCGTCTCCGGTGACGGCGGACTCTTCGCCAAGGATGGGGAAGGGTTTCGAGTGAGGTTGAAGCATTCGCTGGAAAAAAAGCAATTTGACGGGTGACTACGGTTGTTCTCAGCTCCGTCTCGACAGAGAACATGATACAGCGACCAAGAAAAGCATCAATACTGCCTCCGTTCATCATCTCAACGAACAATATGATTGCTCTCAGACATATTTCTCTCTCTCTCCCCCCATGACCACAATTGCCGTCTTTATCTCTTGTAATCGGGCGATTAAAGGTCCAAGACCTCCGATAGAGGACGATGTGTAGTGTCGACTTAGATAGGCAAGTCGCTTGCGGTTGGTGAGCGGGTCGTGGCAGATGTGAGGCCATCACAACGGCAGCGTGATGGGGGTGTTATTCGACGAAGAATCTGCATTGGTCGAGTTAGAGAGAGAGAGAGAGAGTGGTGGTGGTGGCCGATTGCGGTGTTGGCTGCGAGAGATGGCAGCCGAGAACAATGGCAGCAATGGCAAGACGCCGAGACTAGCACAGATTAACGGGAGAGAAAATGAGAGTGAGAGTTGACGGGAGAAGAGAGTGGTGGGAGACAGAGACAGAGACGTCAAGAAGAAGAAGAGTGAAATACATAAACTCGATACCTATTCTTCCTTGGGATAGCTTTCTCATCTTTTTACTACAAATATGCGTACTGTGACATCCCGACATTTCGCTGATTTGGGATTTATGAAATAAATTATTTTACGAATGTGCTCGTAGTTAATTCTCGCCCGGAACTGATCATTCCTGGGGTACTAACCGTTAGGGAAAGGCTAACTGGGAATTTAAAATTCGTACGACTAAAGATAATTCAATCGTAAACGGACTTTCGATCATAAAATCGCCGAGGTGACATTTTGAGCCAAGGTAGGCCGATCCAAGGATAACGAAGGGTCAGTTGGCCACTTTCATAGTAGGGGATCGCGGGTGATTCCACCAGACCACGAAATGAATTGACGAACGATCCTGAACTTATTCTGAACGATCGTACTCATCGGACCTAGTGATCGATCCTCACGATTTTATTGGCAACCGAAGTCAGTACGGTCTGAATAAATTGTACGTGACTCGATTTAGTATCAGTCACGGGTCGTATAGACGAATTTCCCAAAAGCCACCCGTTAGTCTGAGAAACGCTCGAGTTACGTTATGTATATATAATTTAAATTTTTATTAGAGACCAAACCGAGCATCAGAAAATTCGGAAAGTCACGACAAGACCTTTGGATGACGTTGTAATTAGAACGTGCATCTCTGGATTTCTTCGGATTTTTCAGAAAAGTTCAATTTCGGTGAGAAACGAAGAAACTGACCATTTTACCCCTAAGGATTAACAAAGGGCATGTTTTATGGGCAAAGGGCATTTTGGTAATTTTGCCCTAACTTTTTTATTGGACAATTTTGCCCTTGAACTTTTTGAGAAATTACGAGATTGCCCTTGGATATTTTTGGTAAGATTCGATCTGGGCCGTCGGTTTCAAGATAAGATCGAATCCGGACCGTCAGATCAAAAATGTGAGAGAGGGGCGTTTTGGTAAATTGCCATTTTGGTCAAATGGGACTATTTAGTCAAGACCAATCTTCTCTCTCTCCCTCATTGCCTTCTCTCTCCCCCGTGAAAATTCCCCCCCTTTTTGCCGTGAAGCCCCCCACCGTGAGCCCTCTCCGGCCATCTCTCCCTCCCCCCGCCGCCGCGCCTGCCCGGATCGCCGCCGTGCCGCGCCATCCTCGTCGCCGCGTCCCCACTAGCCCCATCCCGCCGTCCCTCTCCCTCTCGGTTTCTCTCTCCCCTCTCTCGGCCGTGGACCTAGCCGCCCCCACCGTGAGCAGCCGCTGTCCGCCCCAAGCCGATCACCGCCGCCGGGAGCCATTCATCGTCGCCGCCGTTCCCGATTGAGCGCCACCGCTTTCCGTTCTAGCCGCGGTAGTCTAGAACGCGGGTAAGTCGCGCTCTAAACCCAACTTAGGACTTCAGGTATCAACGGGCGATTTTTGGGCGAAATCTGGTATAAGTTAGGTGCGGAATTGCATGAATTAGGAGGGGAAATTTTGTGGCGGGCCTTAAGAATTAATTCGGGCAATATTTATTGGAAATTAGAGGATAACAGTGACTGTGGTCTACTGTTCATGGGGCCGTGATGGGCCGATCGGGATGCAAGTTGGATTTTTAGAACCGGGAATTTATGGTGAAAAAGTCCCGTGAAGGACCGGAATCGATTTGGCGTCGTTTGGTTAGAGAAAAATAGCGATTTCTGTGTTTATTGTGCGTTTGGAGTATAATTGAGTTGGGATGGTGAAATTGAATGTGTGATTGTGCAATTGGTTGATTTAATTATGCATGTTGGGTGCACGCGTGGGCCAGACTATTTTAATTATTATTACTGGCCATGTTGAATGCTGAGTGTGCATGGATTTCGTGCAATTAATGCGTGCACGGGCCGCGTGTGAAGGGCCAATTGTGTGTGGCAAATGCTTGTTGAGCATGTGCATAAATAAGAAAGTGAATATGAGATGGCATGTGTGATCGTGAAATTTGTGCCATCCTGAGGCGTGTACGTTTACGCGGGACGATGCCCGGTATTACCGGAAGACTACCAGCCTGAGGCGTGTACTTTAACGCGGGTTGCGTAGTAGGTGGCAGGTGTTGAGCCTGAGGCGTGTACGTTTACGCGGGCAAGAAACATGGCCTGAGGCGTGTACGTTTACGCGGGCCCGGAAGTGATGTGAAAAGAGGTCGCAGTGTACCTGAGGCGTGTACATGTACGCGGGTCACTGGCGAGGAATGTGGATGAGATATGATGAGAACGGAATGAGTGCATGACATGAGAATTGTGCATGCTTGTGATTGTGCTGATGTGCCTGCTATGTGATAATGGTATGTGTGTGATTGCGTGTTGGGTGATTGTCTGGAGGTACGTGATAGCCTAGATGGGGTTTAGGGGTGAACTTACTGAGAAGTGTTCTCACGGTTGTTTCAACCAAAAATTTCAGAACCCTGACAGGACTCATGAATCCTCCACCACCGTCACCAGTGCATTTTGGGGTATCAGTGCACACCGAGGTCGATGTTGCAGAATTCCCTATGCCCAATAACATGACCTGGATTAGGTATACTACTACCGTATTTGTAGAGGTAGGACTACCTTTGTGGGAGACCCATATATATACTACCTGGTTCTTCCGGGATGCTGACGGGATGAGTTCGGGCCCGTTAGGGGTTTTGACGTTCCGTTTGATTTGGTTGGGGATTGGGACCCTTCTGCCATACCCCCGATAGACGGAGAATTGACTAGTGTGGATACTAGTTTAGCTTAGTCGGGTTTGCATTCAACGCCCGCAGCTCAGGGATCTTCAGAGGCTGAGCATAAACCCGAGCCTGAAGCGTCGCAAGCTGAAGACGATCCGATGGACATCGATTTGGAACCGATCCCCGAGGAGGAACCAGAGGAAGTGGAGCCCGAAGTGGAGCCCGAAGTTGAGCCCGAGGTAGAGCCTGATGGCGAGTCTGAGGAGTCGGAAGAGCCGGTAGGAGACCCGAAATATATACTCCCGTTTGAGGAATATATGGACCCCAATTTCGTGCCGGAGTACAATTTCTTTGATTTTCTGGCTGAGGAGTATCAGAATGCAGCTCCAGCTGAGTCGGGTGACATTGATCATCCGATTGTGATTGAGGCGGAGCCGGAGTCTTCGGAGGAGCAATCGGATCAAGGGAGTTCAGATTCTGGTGATGATGAGTCAGACTCAGAATGGACGCCTAGCAAGGGGCGTAGGGGTTAGTACAGGGATTCCTAGTAGGTTTTTGGAAAGTAACATTTTTGGGGATAGAAAGCCAGGTCATCGATCTTTTTGGTATATAGATGGTTTGTAATACGGTGTACAAGTGTATGCGATGGTTGTAAATTGTGGCGGTTGTAAGTTGTGAATATTTTATAAGTGGGTAATGAAAAGAAATATGTGTATTCTCCCTGAATATTCTCCCCAATTTAATTGTCTGGGTGATTTGTGGTTCCCGCTGACGATTTAAATCTCTGATGATCGTATTTGAGGTCGGCGATAATTCCTGGGATGTCGCAAAATCGACCAGTGGCAGATGTCGCGAGCTCGATAGGGTTCGGGTCGTTACATGTACTACACGATTGTGAAGTCTCATCTTTATTGCTCACTTTCTTTCTCACTATAGAAAAACCCTCTTCACAGGGAGGTCAACATGGCCCGGAGAACAATTCCACAGTCATAACTATCGTGCTCCCAAGCCATATAAAGATAAGGTATGACTAGGGCCGTCAAATGGGTGGATCGGGTGAATTTTTGGTTGGGTCCAAAATGGTCCTACCCAAATTGACACATACCCCCGACCCTTACCCGTCCCATTTACTAAATTACTTCCTTATTTAATCCAATCTATGAAAATCTACATCCACCTAGTTAACCAACTTTAAGTTCTTCATGAATATATTTTATTTTGATAAAATCGCTATTTCGACTATATCATGCTAAAGAATTAGTTTTCAACATTGCACATAACTTTCAATTTTTGTGCTGATTCACATTGAAGAATAAGATAAAAGTATGTTCTTGGTAGTGAATTTATAAAAATTTAGCAACCAATAACATGGAGGAATTGAAATTTTAATTAAATGGAATGTAAGATATTGAAAAAGATGATTTATGCTGACCTTGGGTTGTAATGGCAAGAAGTAAGATTATAATATTACATAAAAACAATAATGTTAAATGCAACCAAAGAAAGATATACTCCAATAACTAACAAGCAAAACTTACAATATTAATCCAAATAAAAATAATACGGAAAAAAGAAGACGTCTTGACATTTTTAATAAGGGTGAGACTTTACTTAAGAAAACATCACAAGCTCTCTCTCACGAGTAGAGAGGTGTTACAAGCTCCACCATATAAAGCATTGACATCCTTATCGGTATTACCTCTTATTGTCCAATGATACTCTCCCCACTTGATGTGTGGTTTGGCCAATTACTGCCTGACGCAGCGTTCAGCGAATAATTCAAGCAAAACTTTGCTTAGAGAGAAAAATCTCGAAATTCAATATTGATGATAATAATGTTATCCTTCAAAACAAACCCTAAACACCCTTTTATAGGGGTTAAACCTAATTACAATAGGAAATCTAATCATAATAGAAAAGTTAATAAGCATCTAATAGCAAAATTACAAAAACGACCCTTAAAATTAACTCATAAAAAAATACTAAAATAATAGAAAAAAAACCATCTAATCGCATCGCATCACCGTTTCGCTTTCCGTTTGGATTTCTGTTTGTCCAATCGGTCCAGAAACGCACCACTAATAAATTCCGCATCATTCTCCTCCACTTGAAAAGAACTCGTCCTCGAGTTAAAATCAGGATCTGGATATAACGGCTCTGTGGACTCATGAAACGGTGACAAATCAGCAACATTAAAAGTGTTGGATATGCCCATGCTATGTGGAAGGTCTATAACATAAGCATTATCGTTGATCTTCTTGCTGACAGCGTAAGGTCCATACTTCTTTGGCTGTAATTTACTGTAAGATCCAGCTGGTAATCGCTCTTTACGAAGAAAAATCATGACTTGATCACCTACCGCAAACACCTGCTTTCGCCTGTGCTTATCTGCTCCAGCTTTATACTTCTGATTATCTTCCTCCAGCTTCTGTTTGACTTAATGATGCACTTCCACAATCTGTTTAGCCATATGATCCGTTGCTACACTTTTATCCGCTTGCTTAGGCAACTGTACCAAATCCAGAGTATGTTGAGGCGCCTTTGTATAAACAACAGAAAAAGGCGACCTACCAATAAAACTATGAACTGCATTATTATAAGCAAACTCTGCTTATGATAAAGCAACATCCCATTGCTTCGACATTTCTCCACAAATGCTTCGAATCAAGTTTCCCAGAGTTCTATTAACCGCCTCTGTTTTGCCCATCAGTTTGTGGGTGAGCTGTGCTACTGAAATTCAAAGATGAATCAAACAGCTTCCACAAAGTCCGCCAAAAATGCCCCAGAAATTTGCTATCCCTATCTGAGGTAATAGACTTGGGCACACCATGCAAACGAACCACTTCCTTAAAGAATAATCTGGCCACACTTACTGCATCAGAAGTCTTCCTATAAGGAATGAAGTGCGCCATCTTGAAAATTTGTCAACCACAACGAAAACAGAATCCACGCCTCTTTGTGTCCGTGGTAAACCAAGCACAAAATCCATGAACAGATGTTCCCATATATTGTTAGGAACAGGTAAAGGCATATACAGACCTGTATTCTTAGATTGACCCTTAGCAGTCTGGCAAACATAACACTTTTGTATGTACCTACTGACATCTCTATGCAACTGGGGCCAGTAAAAATCGCTCCCGGACTGCAGCAATAGTTTTATTACGACCTAGATGCGCAGCTAATCCACCATCATGTAAATCGCGAATTACCATCTCTCGTAATGATGTCCGAGGAAGGCAAAGCTGATTGCCACGCATCAGATAACCATCCTGCACATAAAATTCTTATACGGAAAGTTGACCAAAGGCGACATGACTCCTAAATTTTTCCAAAGTCATCATCATCTCGCATAACGATCTTTCACTGCTTGAACCCTAGAATTTCCTGGCTCAACGTAATCAACAAGCCAGCTCTCCTACTCAATGCATCTGCTACAACATTATGCACACCTGACTTATGATGTAATCTGAAAGGAAATTTTTGCAAAAATTGACACCATCGCGCATGCATATCTTTGCTAATCCTCTTCTGACTATTTAGATACTTCAAAACTTCATGATCAGAATAAAGGACGAATTCTTTCCCAATCAGATAATGCTCCCAGGTCTTCAAAGCCCTTATGACAGAATAAAATTCTTTGTCATAAGTGCTCCACTTCTGTCTCGCCTCGCTAAGCTTCTCACTGAAATAGCAAATTGGTCTGTGCTCTTGAGATAAAACAGCTCCTATACCAACTCCACTAGCATCACAGTCAACTTCAAACAGTTTATCAAAATCAGGTAAAGCTAATATGTGCTGTACATAACTTCTCCTTCAAAATAGCAAAACTATTCTCAGCTTCCTCTCCCTATAGAAATTTGCCTATCTTCATACATTCAGTAATTGGGGCTGCGATAGTACTAAAATTCTTAATAAATCGCCGATAAAAAGTAGCCAACCCATGAAAACTCCTAACGTCAGAAACTAGTTTAGCAGCCGGCCACTCTCTGATTGCTCTTACCTTCTCCTCATCTACCTCTATTCCTTGAGCAGTAATAATAATTCCCAAGAATAACAGTTTATTAGTTAAAAAACTGCACTTCTTAAGATTAATATACAACTTATGAATCTGCAAAGCTGTCAACACCTCCCTTAAGTGCAATAGATAATCCTCCTCGGTCTTACTATAAATCAGGATATCATCAAAATAAACTACAACAAATTTGCCAATAAAAGATTTTAGAACCTGATTCATAAGCCTCATGAAAGTGCTTGGAGCATTGGAAAGTCCGAAAGGCATCACCAACCATTCGTACAACCCCTCCTTTGTTTTGAAAGCTGTCTTCCACTCATCTCCAGGCCGAATCCGAATCTGATGGTACCAATTCAAAAACCACTTAGCACCGTGTAACCTATCTAGCATGTCATCCAATCTCGGAATTAGAAACTTGTAATCCACGATTATTTTATTAATGGCCCTACTATCTACACACATCCGCCAACTCCCATCTATCTTAGGAGTCAACAAGGCCGGAACAGCATATGGGCTCATGCTATTCTGAATGTGTCCCTTTCGCAACAACTCATCTACCTTCTCGTTTAGAATCTCGCTCTCTTTTGCACTCATCCTGTAGTGCGATAAATTTGGCAGACTAGCATCAGGAATTAAGTCTATATGGTGCTAATATCACGCATGGGCAGCAACCCACCTGGAATCTCTTCAGGCATCAGTTTGCTAAATTCCTTCAATAAAGGCTTGACTGCTTCAGGCTGCTCCTCCACTTGTAATTCAGCCTCAGTCTCAATTGCTTGTTTCACGACCAGCACGTGAATTTGTCGGGTCTCCTTAACCTCAGCTTCAAATTTCCTCGTAAGGGTAAGGAAATTATTTTCAGCAGATTGTTTTCATTTGTTCTTCAGTGACAGCAACGTATACTTCACTCCATCCTTCACAAGGTTATACTAATTGCTCCTTCCCGAATGCTGAGCATCTACATCAAATTGCCACGGCCTCCCAAATAACACATGACATACATTCATGTCTACTACATCACAATACAGCTCATCATGATATTTTCCAATGGAGAATGGAATTTCACATCGCTCAGTTATCTAAATGCTTTCCGCTCCAGATTTAATCCATCCTAACGTATAGGGATTAGGATGCTTCTCCACGGGTATCCCCAGCTTCTTCACTGCCTCCTTCCCAATGATATTCTACATACTTCCACTATCAATAACCACAGCAAAGATCTTTCCCAGAATGATGCACCTGGTTCGGAATAACTGATGGTGCTGCGATTCATCTTCCTATTTTGGGGCCAACATCATTCTACGCACCACACAGTTTACTTGCTCCTCTTCTTCATCTTCAAAATCATCGTCCTTACCATCCAGCACACAGCAATATCCATCCTCCTCCTCTTCTCTCGCTGCTACGTTTACGGTCTTTCTCTGAGGGCATTCATTATATCGGTGCCCAAGCTGATTACACCTGTAACACTTTATCGCGGCTGGTTTAGTATAAGGGTTAGGGTTCACAGTTTTTTGTGCTTGCGTTCCCTTATCCCTCGACTTGTTCATAGGGCGTTTTTCTACCGCCTTATCTTCCTGATTTCGCCCTGCGTTAAAGCGATTATTGAAACTGCTCTTTTCTACCGAATTGCTCGAACTGCTACCTCGATAATTTTCGTAGCCTCTTCTTCTCTTGTCTTGCTGCATCAATTCTGCCTTCATCGCCATATTCTTGGCTTCAGTTAAATTTCGCAGAAACTGCACTCCAATTTTATCTCGAATGAAGGGTTTCAAACCATCAAGATATCTGGCCACCTGCTGTCCCTCCGTCTCTAATAAATTATTCCACTCCGCCAATCTCATAAATTTGGCCATATACTCATGCATAGTCTGATTGCCCTGCTGGCAACGTTGGTACTGCTGGAACATAATTTGCTCATAGTCAGGTGGAAGGAATTCTTGCTTCAGCAGCCTCCCCATCCTAGTCCAAGTTCGAACTCTCTCTTTCCCTTCTTGTTCCCTCCTATTCTGTAATCT